TTTGAACATGTATAGCCTAGGTACCTATTTTGAAGAGGCAACTGGGGCTCTAAGAAATACAGTAACTGCATATAGTTACACAGATGGAAAATGCTGGTAATGGGAGTTGAATCTAAGTCTAGGTTGTAGAATCACAGCCTAGGACTATGAAAACTACAGTCCACTGATGCTTAACGTAGGGCAAAGGAAGTACAGTCTCATTTGTTATGAAAACGAACCTGTTCACCAGATTCCATTTTCTTTCTTTGTATTTGTATATTAAATTAAAATGGGGCTGGTGAAACTGCAGGGAAATGTACAGGTCTCTTCACTGAGGCTGAGAATGTAAATCAATACAGCTTTGCAGAAAGTCAGATTGGTAGTTCTTGTCCACATCCCATGACTCTGCAACTCCACTTCTAGGAATTTATCTTCAAAAATGCATCATGGATGCACAAAGATAGCTCCCAATAAAATCATCATACTGTGTAAAATTAAGCATTGGAAGCCATCATAACGAGTGACTGTAGAGGCTAGTCAAGTTCATTGTAGACAGTTCATAAATCATTCTGAATTAGGTAGGAAAGTGACCATTATATGGGGAAAATCTTTCCTCTACATTTTTTAGGATAAAAGACAGGTGTTCAGAAAGAATATGAATGAAGACTAAATATACATGAGAACTGACATGTGGTTCTTATCACTATCACTGCTTTTGACCGACTTATTCCATAACCGTCTCTGAAACAGGCACCACTTTTATTCATGGTGTACAGAGTAGAAAACAAGAACAGAGGGGTGATAGAACTTATCCAACATTATCCAGCCAGTCTGAGGTGAAGCCAGAATTTAAACTCAGTTCCTCTGCTTCTCAGGTCCCAAATACTACCTATTTTTATGAGAAATAATTACAAATGAAAAATACAAATTACAAATATGTGTTTGTCAACAATATTAATAATTTAGTTTTCAGGGTTTTTTTTTGTAAATGTTACACAATTTCTAGAATTGATGTGCATTGCTTTTGCATAAATAGCTTATATTTTAGGGAGAATGTTGGGAAGAAGTGCTGAGGGTATCAAGGATTTCTGCTATTCCCCAAGGTCAGAGGTGGTCTGGGTTTGATGCAGTGGATGGATGGATTGCCCCACAGGCAGAAGAGGTGAGGTGTGAGAGAGGAGCCCTGTGGCTGAATTCTCTTCTGCTTCTATTGCTTGCAGACTGTGCCCTGTGCAGGGAAAAGGATGACCTAGTGGATATTTTAATCTCATGCTGTCCATATCTCATGGAATTAGATCCTGGTTTAATTCCTAGTATGGGGAAGATGTGAATTGCTCCAGATAAAGTAGATTAAGTGTCCTCTTGCCAAGTTACATGTCTGTTTTATTGGAAAGCCAGTTAGTAATGTGTATCAGCTGGGGCAAATTGGTGGACTATGGCATTGTCCCTTTAAGGGACATGGTTTTTTCTTTTTGCATGGAATAAAAGACATTGGATACAATAAGACGAATTTATACCCAAATGTTCTCCATTTTCCTTTGAAGGTCAAAAAATGAGGAAATCAATATTATCCTTTAGTTGGATTTTGATCTAAAATGTGTATCATTCGTCTTTAAATCCACCAGAGGTTTTATTGATTCTGATTAACGTTGGTATTGAATTAGTTAGTAACACATTGCATCAAAGATTTTTATAGTGAGCTGTAATAAGAATTCTCTTTAAAAAGTTCCAGATGAGAACAAATTTTTTTCTATTTACACATACTAGTGTTATATGGTGATTATAAAATAGTTTTGTAGAATAATGAACACAGCATTTCTTGGACTTGAAATTTTATGAACAAACTTTGTAAAAGCTTTTCATATTTACTGTGCTCAGAAACTGTTTGACCAGATTTAATATTCTGGGTTTTTTTTCGCAGTATCAGATTTTGAACTCAAGGCCTTACACTTACTAGGCAGGCTCTCTACCACTTCAGCCAGGAACTCAACCCTTTTTTGCTTTAGTTTATTTTTCTCAGACAGGGTCTCCTGCTTTTTGTTCAGGCTGGTTTTGGACCATGATCCTCCTATCTCCACCTTCTGAGTGGAGTACCCAGGATTGCAGGCATGCACCACCACATCTGGCTTGTTGTTGAGATAAGGCCTTGCTGTCCTTGCTGAAACTGGCTTTGAACCTTAATCCTCCTATCTCCATTTTCTAAATAGCTGGGATTATAGGCATGTACCACAACACCTGGCTTAATATTCTATTATATAGAAAAAGTTTTGTGCTTACAGTTTAAGCACAGTTAATATTCCTTTGTATAGGAAACAGGTGAATAATTCAAGGATGGTTGTGGTTCAGATTAAAAACAGACATATAGATTCTCTCTAAATTTTCTTTTGTTTTTTGACTGTGTTATAATTGTTCCATTTAATAGATGTTTTAAGATATAAGGTATTAGAAATAATATCAGTGTTTTTAATATAAATAATAAACATAGAGACAAGAAATGTGTATGTTTAGGTGTCACTTTCTGTCTATTATAAATGATCTCATGTAGGAGTATGAAAAGTTGGGATCTTACAGAACAACTTTCTGTCCTGTATTTTTGTGTTGGAAGTTGAATTATGTACAGATGATAGAAAATGAACATATTTTAAAAGGTAGTCTTTCCTATTACTATTTCAGGGTTAACTTATTACACTACATATTCAAATACATCCATTTGTTCTTAACCCACATATTTTAAACAAATTTGCATATTTCTTCTTCCCCATGTTTCTTCTGTCACCATTTCCCCAAAGATGCTACTTGTAGCAAACAGACTGAAAAAGTAAAATTAGCAAATGTTCACCAAGAGAATTAATAATTTTAGTTCATTTGCATTTTGAATATTATGTAGCATTAAAATGAGAACACATATATTAATATAAACAAATTACCAAATCATGTGGATAGATACAAAACAAAGTTGCAAATACATACAGTTGATCACTTAGACAAAAAATTGAAGTGCTTTTTACAAGTATAAAGTTTTAATAAAAATGTAACAAAGATGTGTACCAATTTCCTATTTAATTTCTCTTCAGGGGATGGAATGTGATGTTTGTGGAGGCTTGAAGAGCCTTTGTTTCTTTTTTGATAGTTTCTAACTGCTTAAAATCGTATGCTTTAAGTTAATTTTGTATTAAAGTTCAACATGAATAGGTTAATTATAGCTCTAGCTTTGATAATAGCTTTAATGTTCCTAGGTGGATTCTGGGTTTTGCTGACACAATGCTAAACACATTGAGTAACAGGAAATGGTCATTTACCAAATTAAAAAAAATAAATCTCCTTTTGCAATAAAATATTTCTTTTTATACTGATGCCTTGTGTTCTTCTGTTGACCTTCCCTAGCTCTTAAGAAGTCATGGAAATTTTAAGATAACCATACAATGATTGAGTTGAAGCAAAATTAAATTTGAATCAATTCAGCTTGGCAAATTGACATGCTGTTTTTGTATTTATTTCTTTCAACTTTAACACCCACAATTTATGAAGTGAGACTGTGTATCAAAGAGGAAACTCAGAATCCTGTTTGGATACCGTTAAGGAAGGAAGCCAGGTCTTTATGGGGCACCCCCTCCTCTCAGCCACTGGCCAGGAAAGCCATCTTTCTCTATAAAGCTATTCAATCTGAAGAGGTGGGGTGACTTTGGGAAGGAAGATGACCTCTCCCTTGTAAAGTGGAATTGCTGCTTCCCCCCCATGACTGATTTAACTCATTTCCACCACTGTGTTTATAAGAACACTTACGTGAATGCTTGTAGTGACAGTGATAGCCACTTAAAATTTGGCTCAAATTTCATGCCCTCAAATTTCCTAAGTTGTTTAAATTATCGATCATTACAATACTAAACAGAACATTTGATAAACTCAAGTTTGCCACAGTCCTTTCAGAGTTAATGGTATGTTTCTTAAAAGCCAGAAGTATAATCAATACATACACCACATCAAATCTGAATAGAGAATGCTTAAATCTAGCTAATTAACATGCTTTTCATGGGAACTTGAGAGTTTCAAACATGATAAAGGAGGTTTTTTTCTTAGATGTCTTGTGTGCTAGATCTTCAGGTAGCTTGGTGTCTGGGTCTGATGTGACATGGTGGCTGAGACAGGATATCAGAGGGACCTGTTTGATTTGATGACTTGTTACTCCTTTTTGTATTTTGAATGATTTTAGAGTTTGACCTTAACTATAGTTAAGCTGATTGATTTGCTTAATTTGCATTGTTTCTGAGCTAGGAAACACTGTAAACTTTATAAAAATTGGTTCTTCAATTCATTTCCTTAAAATACTTTAGTAAGTGTTTGGGGGAAGGGGGTAATATTAGACTTGCAGAGAAACTGCAAAGAGAAGAGCATTCTCTTGTAACTCTTCACCCAGTATCTCCCAATATTAGCATCTTACATTATCGTGATACATTTGCCATACCAAAAACAAAACTGACAATAGTATATTATTAATATGGCCTTTATTTGGATTTTACTAGGTTTTGCACTAATATCCTTTTTCTGTTCCATGATCTAATTCAGGGTACCACACTGCATTTAGACATCTTATCTTTTTAGGCTTTTCTGATTTATGACAGTTTCCTAGTCTGTTATTTTTTCCCATGACCTTGAGAGTCATGAGGAATACTAGCCAGGAATTTTGTAGAATATTTATCATTTTTTTGCATGTGTGGAAATGTGTAACTTCTGGAATTTTTGAAGGAGAGTCTCCATTTAGTCTAGTCATAATCTGCAACAGTAATTTTCTATGAACTCCCCAGTTTCATCCTGGTAATTGTTACTTTGTCTTCCTATCAGTTATGATAGCACTCTAGAATTAAAAGTTGATTTGTGATGAATTTAATATTTTCTTGATATTTGCTTCATCTGTACTCATTCTACATTATTAACTTTACATAGTTAATTTTGGTTATTCTGTTTAAACCACTTAGAAACTTTGCACCAATATGTATTTGACCTTTTGTTTTCAATAGATTAGAGATGGACAACAAAATTGCTATGTACTGAAGAATAAAGATTTAGAACAAGCTTTTAAAGGAGTTATTTACTTAGAGATGGACCTCATATATAATCCGGTAAGTCTCATTGACCATTCATCTTATTTTTCCATACCTAAAATAATTGATGACCAGCCTTAAGGGACTCAAATTAATGTTAAAAGTTGCAAAATTGTCATAGCTTGGGAAGTGAATCGTGTTTTACGCCCCAGGTTTCAAGTAGTATTAACCCTACTGGGCCACCAGGATTGAAAGCGTTTAATTCTCTGTAAATCTAAATGTCAAGGAAAAAATTAAAGGGGAAAGTAGATTTTGTATAATCTACAGATTACATAGATATATATTATATTAATAATATGATCTGTATGTTGCATAAATATATTTTATGTTATAAAATCTGTGTAGTAGGTCTATAATTTTTATATGGTATAATAAATTATATCTATTTACAATAGGCAACTGAAATATATAACATAGTAAATAATACATAATAAGTTTTTTATCTATATATTATCAAATTCTTGGTAGTGCTAGAACTCTGGGCAGGCTTCAGTACAAATGTGTTTCTTCTTGTATCATTCCCTTCCCTTTTCTTTCTAAGAAATCATATGTGCAGTTTACAGGTCAGATCATCCTCACCTCTGGCTTTCTTAGGGTAGGCACTTGTATACATAGATTATTATGATAATTGTACTCTTGGTAAGATATGAGTTTAAGGGTAAATAGAACCTTATCCAAGTGCAGACAACATTGTTTCAGGCCCATCCAGACCCATTGGGGATCTCATGCCATGAGATCTCAGAAACACAGGTTGAGCACAGGGGCACCTGCCACTTCTCTGCCCCCATGGAAGGATTAGAAGGTCTTAGTTTCTATGTTGTTCCCAATAACTAATAAGAGGAGAATGAAGGCCATACAAATATTGTCCTTTATAACAATGTTGTTTTTTCTAGGTCAAAGCAAGTATTAGGACCTTTACTCCCAGGGAAAAGCGCCTTGTTGAAGATAGCCGGAAGCTATCCAAAAAGGTAGGTTAGGACCTAAGATGGCTTGGGGATTCATTCAGAACCTGCAACCAAGTACTTCTCTATCATTACTTGATTGCTTCTGTCTTTCCTTTTCTCTCCACATCTGTCTCCCCTCTATCCTTCCTTTTCTCCCTGTCTCTCTACTTTGTTACTATCTTCTCTCTCAAGAAAGGGCTTCAGGCAGCTCCATAAATGGGAGACTTAAAACATATCCATCACAAAAGTGGGTGTCAGCTTCCAGGCTTTCCCTGGACCATTGAATGAACAGTAGTTTCCATCATTAAGCATAAATTTCCTCCTGGTTTCCTTGCCTGCCTACCTTTCTTACTCCCAGCATTTCAGTCTCTGCCTTTGGAAGTTCCAGGAAAGGACTCTGCCTGCATAGTGGATAAAAGAGTTCACCCATTGGATCTGTGGAGGTCTCTGACCTTGGATTCACCTAAGACTGCTCTTATCACATTTGGTTGTCTAAATTTAGGATGTGTTGGCAATTCACTCCATATTGAATTAGCTATCTCTCTTTCTGCCCATCACCCTAAATTTCTCTCTCATCAATTCAACAGAAAGGGAAAATCAGCGACAGTAGAGGAAGTAGTTTTACTTTTTTTTTTTAATCATGACCTTTATATTTTTTTCAGAGTCCCTCCTTGTCCTCTAGATGCAGCTCAGGGTTTCTCTTTATACCCATTGTCCCTCTTCACTTGTGTAACAAAGAACAAAGTGTCCCCTTTTTAAAGTGTTTATTACTTCCACTACTTCCTTTGGGGTGAGCAGCTGTGGATGACACAAAACAGTTAAATATAAAGGCATCTTACCATCTTTTGTTTCTCATGAACTTCTGGGCATGCTTGGGAAAGGCCTTAACCATTTTGTAAAGAGAAGCATCCAAATGTTTTCTTTCAGTGTGCCATAACATTGAGTGTAATATTTATTTAGTGTAATTTGAGTAAATGTCTTATTTTTTATTATTCCTACTGCCTTTTGCTCTGTTTACTTGAAAGTTAAAACCTGAGTTGAGGTAGGTGGAGTAAGGTACTTTGCAAACAAGTTGAAATGAATCTGACTACAACTGGGAGAAAAGACATTTCCTTTGCAAAATAAAATTTCCACACCAGGGAGCTTTGGACTCTGAGATGGGACTGAGATCTTGGGGTGTGTCAGGATCCTCTCCATGGGCTTCTCACCACTTAGTTCCCCCAGATGTTCACAAAGTTGAAACTTTTGTTTATAATACAGATACTTCAAAGAATTTATGATGTGACTAGTATTTTTCTAAGGCCATTAATTCTCACAACCACTCATAAGGTTAGAACTATTATCAATCTTATTTTGTGAGAGAGGGTAGGCCACTTGTCCAAGGTTGAACAGCTAGGAAGTCAGTGAACAGATTCCCTTCTTAGAACTATGCTTTCTTATAGGTTTCTGGACTATGATCAATATTACTTATATGTTTCTACTATTAATTTATCCAATCAACACTCATTTCCATTCTCTCTCTTTTCTCTGTCTCTCTCTCTCTTTGTTACTATGACTGTATTTCTTTCTGTCTATGTGTCTCTCTTCTCATGCACATAGATACTTCAGATACTCCTGCACTTAATGCCCGGTTGCTTTACCACTTACTAACTCTGTTTTGTACTAAATAATACTGAAATAGGCTAGTCTTCATTTGAGTTACCTCAAGCATTGGATTTGCTTATCTTCCACGCACTATAATATTTTAAGACAGAGTTTTAGAAGTGCAGGACTTTTCCTTCTTATTATTTTCAGTTGGCACCCTATAGAATATAATTTAAATGATCAAACTACCGGATCTAAATGGAATATATGGTATATGCAAATCTGGCTCCCTGTTTACTGTTTCTGTTTTTACAATCAGATCTTGTCAAGAGATGCAGACCGGGTAAAAAGACTCACTATGGCAATATGGAACACAATACAGTTCCTTAAGAGTTGCTTCCAGTGGGAATCCACATTGAGAAGTACGATAGCATTTGTGGTAAGCTTTCCTTTTATGTTCAGATGAATTGCTGCTTACTTGTATTCATTCCTCTTTCTAAAATATATCATGGCATAGGGGATTATATGGGAGTCATCTTTCTAATACTATACTTAGGTCAGAGTTACGCATAAAACCCTTTTTACCCAAATCCTACTAAGAAATCACTATTTCTTGGTGAGCTTAACAGAACAGTGTTGTATATATTTTTAATATCTCTGTAGTTGCTATATAGCCAAGTCTGTATAGTCTTGGATTGTCTATATTTTTCCTCTTCTGTGCCAATGACTACCAGTAATTTTTGAAAAATGACAGCGGACAGATCACATGACTAAATTATAACTAATTGGCTGTAATTTAGGCTTTCAGTACATCATTCATAAATTTTGATATTGAAAACCCTGATTCATATCAAGTTTCTTGGAACACAGCTGATCACTATATGTTACAATATGATTCAATACCATAATGGAAAACAACTCATGAATTAAATACATTCTTGTCTTACAACATTGGCCCATTCTTATGAGCATAAAAAAAAATCATAGAATCAAAGCACTGCAAGAAATCCTAAAGCCATGTAACACTGAGAGACCAAGAACCTTGGAAGAGCTTGACAGTTGGGACAATGATCTCAATTAGCATGTCTGGGTGGTCTCCCTCACTTGTAAAGTAACTTGTCCTTGATCAGATTGCTGATGTCAGCTATGGAAGGAGAAACCACACTTCCTAGTGGTACATCTTATACACTTAATATTATGAAATTAATTTCTATACTGTGCAGAGATTGTTGTAGGATTAATATGATGTATGAGTGGTCCAAGAATGAATATAGGTCACAAACCGAGGTAAGTCTGATTTCTGCATTTTACATGTCTCTTGCTTTCTGTTACCAGTATAATTGTTCTACCCTACCCCATAAGCTCAGCCATATATAAATATTTCAAGATGTCAACAGGTTCAGGGTCACTCCCCCATTTAAACAAAGTCAAGTATGCCAGCTTCACAAGTGGCTTTTTCTGTGCCATTGGGGAGCATTTTGCTTGGTCTAGTTTATTTCAGTTTTCTGTCACCTCAGAGAATGCAGGCTCTACACTGCTTGCAAGTTTTACCTTTAATATACCTTCTCCACTGAGTGATGTTGCTAAAACATTTGGTCATAGTCGTAAAAGATTTGTTAACCCATATCCATCATTGTCTTGGCATTGCTCTCTCCATCTCCCTTTCTCATGTCCTCCTTAGAGATTGGTTTCACTTGTCACACTCCTCTTCAACCTCCCCAGCTCCACTTCCCACCTGAATTCCCTTTCAAACTTTCCATGGAATGTTCTGTGCAATTCTGGGCAAAAGAGGAAAGTGAACACAATTGTTGACTTCTTCCAGTCAGCACTCTAGCCAGTGGCCGCAAGAGTGGAGGATTTCCTCTCTCTCCAGTTTAGTTTCTGGCACTATGATTTTAGAAAAACAGAGATCTGTTGCCCTGGAATCTGTAGGGGGATGACAGAAATGATTAATGGGCTGCTGGCCTGATCTGAAGAAAGATTAGGGCAAATGAATAGAAACAGGTTGTCCCTTAGAGGGGACTTTTAGACGGGAAGGGAGTCCTGGCAGGGGTCCACTTCTCCACTGCCTGTGCCCTGGGTGAGTCCTCTCTGCTGGGCACTACCTTGGAGCAGAGTCCTGAGGCAGGCTGGCAAATGCAGGCTACTACATTGTACCTTCAGGTGTCCACGGCCCACAGAATGAGATAAATATGCTATTCTTCTTGCTGGTTTTCCAAAGCCTGCTTTTTAAGGATGCCTGGGACTTGTGTATAAGAGGGTGTTACCATCAGGACATGAGTGAAAAGAAACAATCAGTTACAAGCACGAAATAGCCAGTTACAAGCACCACATAGTCAATTTTTTGTATTCACAGATTTAACCAACCACAGATAGAAAATATTTTATAAAACAAAACTATTGATAGAAAGCAGGTCAGTGCTCTTCAGGTGCTGAGCATATAGGAAAAGAGTAGCATACAAAAGACTGTGAGAATTCTTAGAGTGAAGGAAGAATTCTGTGTCATAAATGTGATGATCACATGACCGTTTATATTTTCAAATCTCATCAAATTGTACATTCAAAACTGTTGAACTTTAGTGTGTGTTATTATTCCAAGATGAAGCTAATCTTAAACATTAAAGAGACGGAGGAAGAAACTGTTCAAAAAACCATATCTGTAGTAAATAAGTAAACATTTTTTTCTTGTCCTTATCCCCAAACAACATAGTATTACAACTCTTACATTTATTTGTATTGCATTATATATTATAAGTACTCTAGGAATGATTTAAAGAACATGGGAGGATGTGTGTAAGCTATATATATATATGATGCCATTTCATGTAGAGGACTTGAGTATTTGTGGGATTTTGCATGTACAGAGTGTCTTAGAGCCTACCCCCCTTCAACCCTGAGGGACAACTGTACATATAAACCATATCATTGTTTGCTTAAAATCTTTTTAGTTTGAATTTGTAGCCTTAGTCTCAAAAGTCTATGCCACATTTACCTGGTCCTGCCATGGTAGATCTCAGAGATATTAGACACAGAGTGTTGGATACTTTGTAACCCTGAGCTGAAGTATCATTTTGTTGAACTGTTTTTGTTACAATGTACTATCATGAAGGTGATTTCAAAACCACTTCTGCTATTTCAAGCAAGAGACTATAAAGAAAATGCTTTCCTAGGACAAAAGAAAAATATTTACTTTAGTTCCCTCCTTTTCTACTCTACTATTATTTTTTAACATAACATTATGAGTGGCAAAGGATTTATTTTTGTTTGGAAACATTTTGCTTTCATGGATCCTTCCCATGGATTTGCTAACTGCCTGTAGAGTATGCATGGGGACACACCTAGGAACTGCCACTGGCTATAGGCTGTAGCTTGGAGACTGTGGAACTTCTCTGTGGGTTTCTGCAAAGTATCGGATCCTCAAGTAACATGGGCAGATGGAGGCAGGGAGGCTGTGATGATGAATCCAAGCCTGTTCTCTGCCTGGCCTCTCTATGAGCATACCCTATTTGAGGTACACACTAACTGCTGTTCTCCAGGCGTCTGTGGGGGCACATTGCTGCTGTTCCTGTTTTTACTCATCAATGTGATGCTTGATTCATATTCCATCTGCTCACCTTGGTGTTACAGGGCAGGACAATTTTGTGGTGTTCTGAAGCATTGTTTTAAGGACTTAGGAAAGAAATGACCACATTGTGCCTGAAGGCCCTTGTTATATTGTAGATTAGAATAAGAGATTATGGATGGCTTATTGCACAGGTATAAGAGGAACCATCATGGCCAGAGTAGTCACTAGAGGGATTCTTCTTTTCTCTGGAAGTGCCAGTAAGCGATGCTGGCATCTCACACTAAGGGCAGAATGGAGGGATTTTTATCCTATTTTTTGAGAAAAAATAGTCTATTAACTAATGTTCTTTTCTTTATGACCAGATAATGTAAAGCTTATACATTTGTAGGATCATGTTTACTATATTCTTCCTCTTAATTTCAAGGCTTTATGAAGGCAAGCCATATGTTTTCCTAGGATTCTTACAGATGTGTGTATGTATAGATCATACCTTGTTGAAAGCTTTGTTTTAAAAAAGCAGCCTTTTAAGATCTGAGACCACATGGTGTCTAATCAGAAGTAAAGGAACAGACATGGAGAATTTATCTTGTTAGATTGGCTAAGCGTAAGTCTATTCCACCATGGGACTTATCCTCTGGACACTTCCCTGAGTAGTTGTATCCCCAACACTAGGGGAAGAAAGTTATCTTGAATTCTTCACTGACACTAGCTATGTTAACATCGTTGAATTTGTTATTTTTGTGTGAAGTCAAATTTGGGTTTTAAGGGAATGGTCAAAACATGCTAAATCCTGTTTCTAGTCTCATTTTTTTTTATTAGGTTTAAAAGAAAAGAAAACCTTTCTCATTTTTTCAATCTTTCTCTTTCCTGAAACAGTTTTCTAACTATTTTACTACAGTGCCTTTTCAAAGCTTTACTATCTGAGATTAATTAAATAGATGTTTTTTCTTTTATCCATTAAAAAGTCACATTCTTGACTTTCCAGATTGGAAGAAAAATTGAGATGCCAATTTATAGACAGAAGCCAATGTAATTAAAATATAGTGTCTAGAAGTAAAAAGTAAATATATATATATATACCTGGTCATACTCACACAGGATTTAAACTCCAGGGATATTAGCACTCAGGTTATTTCATTTTTTCAGATACCATCCCAAGCATTTTAACTCATTTAGTTCTCACAACATCCTACTGATACAGATGCTATTTGCTTTCTTCTTTTTACAGAGAAGTAAAATGAGTGTAGGTTAAGTAGTGTGTAGGAGTTCATATGTTTTTAAGAAACAAAGCTGGAATTGGAACCCGGTCATCTGGCTTTAGAAGTCACATCCTTAACTGCTGGGCTGTACACTGCCTCCCATTGATGCTCGTGATGTACTGCTTATTGTGCTGATGTTTAGTCAATGTTAGGAGGTTAGCCTGGCCCAAAAGACCAAAAGTCGTATGTTCTCCCTCATATGCAGACATTAGATCAAGGGCAAACACAACAAGGGGATTGGACTTTGATCACATGATAAAGCGAGAGCACACAAGGGAGGGGAGAGGATAGGTAAGACACCCAAAAACTAGATAGCATTTGTTGCCCTCAATGCAGAGAAACTAAAGCAGATACTTTAAAGCAACTGAGGCCAACAGGAGAAGGGGACCAGGAACTAGAGAAAAGGTTAGATCAAGAATAATTAACCTAGAAGGTAACACACACGCACAGGAAATCAATGCAAGTCAACTCCCTGTATAGCTATCCTTATCTCAACCAGCAAAAACTCTTGGTCCTTCCTATTATTGCTGATACTCTCTCTACAACAAAATTAGAGATAAGGGCAAAATAGTTTCTGCCGGGTAGTGAGGGGATGGGGAGGAGAGGGAGGGGGCA